AAAGAACAAAAATAGTCACGGGCCTTCAACGGATTTTGATAAAGGCTATAATTTTTGTTACGAAATTTTATGTCGACTCTGGGAGTAGGGTTTGGAATTTTATTTCAAAGGGTATTGTTTTATATTCATTTAAACTTATATAATGGGATGTAGTCTGTTACAGGAATAATGATTTATGAATGTACTTTATAGTATATTTTTTTAATTAATTTGAAACATGAGACAATCAGGTATACCTCAAAACTTGAAAACAAGATTGTACAACCAGTGCGTGTTGCCAGTGATGGCTAAAGGTCACTCAGCGAGCTATGCAGAGGGCAATGCTCGAAGTTTCTCTGCGTTATAAGCTTAAAAATGAGGATATCTGCAATAGAACCAGAGCAACCGACATAGCCCAACGAATTAGTAAGCTGAAGTGGCAATGGGTTGGCCATATAACTCGAAGAACCGATAACCGATGGGGACGAAAGGTTTTTGAGTGGCAGCCTCGTACCGGCAGACGAAGTGTAGGGCGGTCCTCACCAGATGGAGTGACGATCTGATAAGATATGCAGGAAGCCGATGTATGCAGGTGGCCCTGAACCGTGCTTTGTGGCATTCGACGGCTCCCTTAAGTAGTGGCTTAGCTATGAGTTGCAGCGCTAAGAGCCGCGTGTTCGATGTATTTGTATGGCCTGCGATTATTTGTTACACGTCTGGATGTTTGTCCTTGTGAAATTTATGTATGTTAACTGCCCTCACGATACAGGAGAAAATCCTAGTGAGATAACGTTTTAAAAAAAATACGTTAAATTGTTCCTTAGGGGAAGCCTACGTTCAGCAGTAGACTTATGAATGGCTATAATGATGATGATGATGAGACAAATACCTTCGGAACTTCTGTAGCATTCAAACATGTAGAACGGACATACAGTTATAATTTTGAAGCTGTGTCAGCATGTCATTTCATGTCAGTAACTGGGTATTGGGGTCGCAGATCTCTCGAGACATTTTTGATACACAATTACATGCTAAAACTGCTAGCTATAACATTACTCAGGAAATGAATATGGTTATTGATAAATTTTCCTTGTTTAGTCTCTAAGAATGAGAACAGTAAATATTTTATAATATGGGCGTACATATGTTGTTTAAACGACTGCTTCTATTGAAACAGTACTATGTACTATAAAATTAAAAAGCTTTGATCTGTTTTATGATGATTTATAAGCAACAAATATTTAATCGAAATATCAGTGATACTATATGTTAATATAGCTGTGGATGTAATCAGTTTTATTTTTGAAAATGTATACCGTCATTCAATTTGATGCCAATGCTGCACAAATAGCACGCAATATTCCTTTTCGGTTTGGTCGTTTTGTGAATTTCGACTTTAATAACGAACATCGTTGGCGGCTAAAAACTAAAGTCAATAGGTTAATAAACGAATTGATAGCTACTATAAATAGCAAATGGGAACGGATTCGACTCAAATCATAACAAAATTAGCAGTAATATTAAACTTAAGTAACGAATGATTATTTTAAGAAGAATTGAAAATAAGGAGGCTCAGAAAGTCAGTCTTGCATGAGCCAACTGTAGGACAACGACAAAGTGGCGTCAATGCCAACCTCAATTTATTAAATCGGCACGTAAATTAGAGGATTCTAAAGCGGATCCTTGCTTGTAATGTGAAATAGATCCCAAATGATAATCGGAAATATTCATTGCCGTGATTGAGTCCTGGAGAGGCAACCAAACTACAAAAAATGTGAGAAAATGCATTCAATTGCAAGAGGATTATAAATAAAGATGAAAAATGTATGATTTCTTGAGTTTACGCGAACACTTCACATTAAATGAAACTAGTTTTAACATTTCACTTTCTCGACGATACGTGCACTTTACAGCACCCATAGTCACAGTAGGACTAAGGTATTCGACGTGCATTTGCCTTAATCATCGGACTTGGCAGACCACTCGCATCTTGATAACTTCAATTTTGTAATAATGAGTTGAAACAAATAACCGAAAATTCGGTTAATAATTGGCAATCCCCAAGGATATAAATTTGATTTTGGAATTTCTATTAAAATGCAAGATGTCATAGAACCACAGACCACTTTACTTTCACCCAAAAAGATAGATTCTCGTAGTTTTATAATAGATGTAGCAAGAATGAGTCCACTTAACTCGAAAGACCATGATGTTACACATAATATTAGTGTAAAAACGGAGCATAATAATGCTGTGTTACGTATGTATTTTTATAGGTTTTGTACCACGCTGCAGTTGTATTACGGTTGTAGCACGGATGGATGACCCATTCGTGCTACTACTTTAATACGTAACTCAATCAGGGAAGTACCACGCTCTCACAGAATACCAGCGTGAAATAGTAACTCAATTCTGCTGTGTTTCGTATGGTGACTGTAGAGAATCGTAGTTCCTTTTACTGGCAACGAGGCATTCCATCTTTATCTTCAAATTTGACAACGCATCTGCATTTTTAATTCTTAATAGAGGATATATGTAGATGGATATGTGTCACAGTATACACTTACAATCAGATGGACTGCTCCCTTGTCACCTTTATTAAATGAAGTATGAGGCAATTCATATTATTCTTCAAGGGAAACAGCATCCTCTTCAAATCAGATGGACTGTCTGTGTCTGTGTGTTTGGCACCCTTACTTATAGAAAAAACATAAAACTAACCAATAGGATCATAACCAATACAATTAGAAAACAGCATTATCATAATATTAACTATATTTATCCTTTATTAGCTATTTACCCACGGCTTCTCCTACGTAGGCTTTAATTTTACTTTTTTTACTTTATTAATACTGCTCCTTGCCAATAATAGCAAATTGGATTACATGTAGTAGTAGACGTAGATGATTAAAATTTGGCATATTATATATATATGGGCCTACCATTAAAAGTTCGTTGCGCTGAACCCAACGCGGGATGACTGACCACGTATAAAAATATTTATCGAAATATTTTTTTTTGCTTCTCAGATATTCTTACCAGTTCAGTTCTACTCATAGTTAAAATAAAAAATAAACTCGTGTTTTAAGTAAAATTTGCTTTCTTAGATATTCATAGTACTCTTCTCGCAAGAGCTTGTTCACTAACATATAATACTCATGTGAAATATGAAACCGGGTCTGTCACAAAAAACTTAGTATATCTGAAAATACATCATCTAATCATCAAATCTTAATCGCTCGAAGCAGATCATAAAAATGTTAAACTGTTATATAAGTCTCATTAAAATAAAAAATTAAGTAGCAGCTTAAACAGATCCTTCGACTGCGCACGAGGCTCTTCATTACCTGTAGTTTTTTGTGTGAAGGAAGAGACCGTCGCAATGTTCTAATGCGTATTAGCATACGCATTAGAACATACGTATTAAAACCGCTAGGTTTTAACACGTCTACAATTTTTTGAAACTACGCAGACATATAGGTTTTCTCACGATGTTATTTTTCACCACTTTACCATCGAACACGTGGCAAATCAGCACATAAAATTTCCTATGACAGTGACATTGATTCTTGGAATCGTAAACGTTTTGCTCTAGTGCCATGACATCTAAAAGCAAGCTACACGGCTACCGTTTGAATAAAATTCATTTAAACTGAAAAGAAGCTTTTGCACAATTGTAGATACCTAGTAATTAGTCATCCAACCATACCACGAACTGTTCTAAGAATAAGTGATAAAAATCTCATAGTGCACTTTTATTACTAACATCACATAACTTGAAAACAAATGAAACTGATGAAATTATTGCTATGCCGATAGACATGCAATAGATATATTCAACTAAAGAGCTTCTTTCTTAATCACAGTTTTGTGCACACAACATCCAGTTAACAGTTTAGTTAGTCATATTTTAAAACGTGGCAATTACGACAAATCAACCCGATAGTTGCCATCGGTCTGGACATTATAATTCTGACAATTTTTGATGCTGCACTAATAATTATTCAGTATCATTCTTTAGTTTAATTTTATCGGTTACATAATAGTTTATTTATCAGTAAGTAAATGGTGCTATTATTAGATTAAAATCATGAAAACCAAAACTGTAAATTTACTTATGTCTTCGCTAGATCGTAGAATTGATCATATTATAAAATGCCCGACCATTTAATGAATCACTACCATTTCGTGATAAAGCCAATTATCACTGGCCATATCGAATAAATGTCAACGTTTGTTGATTTATTCTCCATCTACGTTTTGTCCATTCACGATTGGCCATATCATACGAAATCATCTAGTAATAACAATGAAAGTATATTTAAGTGCGTCTCAAACATTTATATATAATATAATATGTTAAAAATGCGCTATAGGTAAATAATTAAACAATTTTGCGACATAACCTTACATGAAAGAGTAATGTTTAGTAATTTTGGTGTGATCACACAGATAGACAGATAGTCACATTAACTGACAGAAGGAAATAAATTCTAAAAGCCACTAATTTGAGTTTAGTATCCATTTTAAGGTCCTCAGGACTTTGTTTTGCGGGATATATTAGAATAACAGACACGCATTTTCGACAGATTTATTATAAGTATAGTTTTAAATTTATAACTAGTTTATGTGGACGGTATTGTCCCTCATCTCTACAATATATAGATGAAGCAAAAGGTGTTGCCCGCATCGTGCAAAATCACAATCCATAACAGTGTCTTTGTTTTCTTATTTAGTGATAATAAAAGCATTGAACAAGTAAATAAATTACATAATTATTTATACAAATTACTCCCTAATAGAGTTTTAGAGCTATTGAATCAGAATAGGAATCAGTAACCATAGACCAATAAATAAGTACCCTGCGTGGTTAGACCACTTCAGAATAAATTGCAGCACTATCTATATTAATGAGGATTTAACATCGGAGTCAATGTAAATTTACGGGTCATTTTAATTTCATAGATGAATTTGTTCATTACCTTACATTATTTTGTTTCAGATAAAACATCGGTATACACATGATTGCACCGTCGACAAAGACGGCCTGGTGGCTGGCAACATTTTTAACTGTTTTTGTCACCGGTATGTGCTTTTCAGTTTATAAAGAATGTTATTCATTAAAACTTACTAACTTTATAACCGAATTGGTTTTTAATATATACTTAATATTATTATATAAATTAAAATAAATAACTTTGATAGTAAAAACGGAAAAATTTTGTCAATTTAAACATAGTATTTATGACATATTTACGAATGAATCAATCCTAAACATGACGACGTGGAGCAGCGTCGAAGGTGTGAGACGTCTGGTATTGAAATTGTTATCCGCCATGTTTAGCAAACTTTCGTGCTGATAAAGAAAAAAGAAGACAACTGTCCATTTTCAGATAAAATTTACATGAATAAATAAGATTTTTACTACGTATATTATATTAAATAAATTTAATAAAACAAATAATAAAATAATAAACAAATAATCAAATAAAAAATTCTTATAATTTATTTCCCATTACCGTGGCAGCCTATCAACAGTACACTGCGAATCATAAGCCTCTGTCAATATATTGCCTCATGGGGTATTTACAATATTAGCCAACCAGTATTTTATTTTTATTTTTACTTGATTATTAGGAAGCGCAGCTTGGTTTATTTTTCTTTATCCCCTCCTACGACACTAACGGGACAATATGCGGCAGTGTATATTTGTTACACTACTACTACTCTTTATTAAACAAAAAAATATGTTATACATGATTATCAAGCCGTGGTAGCTTAGACGCCAAGTAAATTTCACCGCAGCAACCCAGGTATGTATCCCCGCCGGTGCCAATGAAATTGTTAATTGCGTTTTTAATTTCTGACTTACCACGTGCTCGACGGTGAAGGAAAACATTGTCATAAAACCTGTATGTCAAATAAATAAAAATAAAAACACTGTTTCGAAGACATGTGAAGTTGTGAAGAACACGCTCTGGGGCAGGGCGTCGCACAATATCTTGCCTTAAAATCCGCTCAGAAATGAGAGGAGGCTTTTGCCGTAAATACGACGGATATACAGTTTTACCTTTAACGAATTTACATGATTAAAAAAATATATATATATTTAAAAGAATGTACATATTACATATTGACGTGTATTTATTATTTATTATTATTATGTTATTAATAACAAAATAGTTAATTGATATTTTGCCTTGAAGGTGAAATGCCAATACAGGCTGAGGTTGAACCAGAGTTCCTGCAAGAGTTGGAAAACCATACAGTGACACAAGGCCGTGACGTACATTTTACGTGCGTCGTTAATCATCTTTCCAATTATAGGGTAAGATATTTTTCATTATATTTACTAAAATACATTTGTGTCATAATTATGATATTTTATTAGACTAAATGCTTAATTTATTATATTCTGTTGGATGGAACAATGTACAATAACGATAGAGACGAATAATCCGCAATTATGTAGTATATATGATGTAATTCAAATATCTCATAATTAAAACGCGGCAAATTTTGTGACATTGAGTTGTAAAAAGGCAATTGTCATTTTTTTTATAGGATAGGGTGACAAACGAGCACACTGTCCACCTGATGGTAAGTGGCTGCTGTGGCCCATAAACATCTACATCCATTCTCGTTTGCGAATCAAAATGCAGATTCGTTATTACCCGTGAGGACCAAGATGGAATGCCTCCCCTCCAGTAAAAGGATCTCCGGTTCTCTACACTCACCATACGAAACACAGCGGTGTTAAGCTGCTATTTTACGCTGGTATTCTGTGAAAGCGTGGTCCTTCCCCAGTCGAGCCGACCCATTCGTGCTACAACTATACTACTAATATAGTTGCAGCATTGCTCTACCACGTTTAAATGCAAATGTTAAGTTTTTTTATGTTTGTTTGATATGTAATATTTAATATGAAGCACCTAATAATATCAGCCTGTTCAATAATAATTGATCTTAATTTGCCATATTTCTATGTTACTATCGAAGGACGTGAAATATCAGAATAGTTAGTACAAGTTTCATCATTATTGTAATAATGGGATAGTTTTTAAAAATTTATAACAAGGGTAAATATCTACAGATATGTATTTTTAAATGAAAAAAGAAGTAAAAATGAATTATATTATAAACCAATCGGTTTCATCAATTTATATCACTTGATAGGCCACGCAGAAATTGCGAGTGTCTTAATGAGGTACTGAATAGTTATAATTTATTTTTAAAAACGGTTATTTACATGTATAAATAAGAATTTTCCATTTTCAAAAAGTCCCTAAGCATTTTTAACAAAAGTTGAAATATCGTGTCGTTGTTGTAGCTGGTGTCAATTACTTCACAAAATCGTAGTTGCATTAATGTCAAATTGTATACAACCAAATGCTTGCCAGAAGAGTTCACTGCTGCAAGAAATAAGCGACCGTACATGGTGCTCTGCGTGTTACTGCCCACTGCCTAACCATGAGAACGCCAACGCGCCCGCGCATTGAACACTCATCATCATCATCATCATTACAGCCCTTCACAAGTCCACTGCTGAACATAGGCCTCTCCCAAGGAATGCTACAAAGCACGGGCCCGAGCCACCTGCATCCATCGACTTCCTGCATGTCTTACCAGGTCGTCATTCCATCTAGCGGGGGAACGCCCTACACTTCGCCTGCCGGTACGAGGCTGCCACTCGAGAACCTTTCTTCCCCATCGGTTGTCGGTTCTTCGAGCTATATGGCCGACCCATTGGCACTTCAGCATACAAATTATTTGGGCTATGTCAGTTATTCTAGTTCTACGAGTATTGCGGATATCCTCGTTTTTAAGTCTATCACGCAGAGAAACGCCGAGCATAGCCCTCTCCATAGCTCGCAGAGCGACTTTGAGCTTCCTTATAAGGCCAGCAGTGAACACTCAAAACGAGTGATTTCTGTAAATATTTTAGCGTAAGTGCATTGTTAATGAATATATGACTGTTTGTTATCAAAATTAAAATAAAAAAATCTTTATTATAGTTTTTAAATATATTTTTTATATGTATAATTTAAAATACTTTAAGTAAGCAATTTTTGTACATAAATTGGTTTCTTAGGAACGGCTACTTATAACAATTTGGAGAAATTTTGTATTAAGATAATGTTTCACACTCCAAGTTTATCGTGATAGGTGACATCCCTCAGAAAATTACTTTTTTTTTCGAACGCCACGTGAAGTGAAGTGAAGAAGATACTTCTTTAGTGTAACAAAACAAAAAAAAAAACTTTAGACACAATTATCCACTGAAGTTGTTGCTTTTAGGTATCAGTTTGCGCGCGCATCGTAACAAATTCATGGCGTCGTTTTTAGGAGTCCGTGTTTTCACGCATCGTAAAAATTCATAATTATTCCAAACGCTTCAAAAGAAGTATAATTTCAAAAACATCTTTACTATAAACAAGTTCAACAATCGTTGTTATTTTGTTTATTTCTCATCAGTTCGTAGACCATTCAGTTGAGAAGATTAACCGAAACAGCCATGTTTAACAAGGGAATTAGCAATAGTAGTACCGGATTTCTCCCTCCCAATTTGGCTTGGCTTTTCACCTTGTTTGGTTATTTGACGAGTTGTGGTAAATCTTATATAAGATATCTCTTCTCGTACTCCGTATATGGACTTAAAGTTTAAAAAGAACTCATCTTAAGTTTTCCACTTCTATATTTTTGGGAAACTACGAATTTATTTTGCTGTCCCGAAATCCCTGCCAACCAAGTAGCAGGCAAAATTTAATGCTAATAAGCATAATAATTTTTCACGTATTCAAAAAAAATCTCTTAATTCAGGCCGTAAACAATACAAAACTAGACAAGGGTCGTCTTTTACTAGGGAGAATTAGAATTAATGTGATGAATTTGATGTGTATTGTTTATTAATGTTGTTGAAAATATAATTTATTTCGATTGAAAAGAACTTCAATTCACAATTATTTTGTTTGAATGATTTCTAAAGGATAAAATTACTTGATGAAAACTGTAGTATATTATTACTAAGTATATAACTTAGGTATTACTCGCGCATAAAAGGATATGGTTTGTTTATAATTACAACGGAATGTTATTTGAAGCGAAGAAGTACAAGTTAATTAGTCAGATTCTACAAAACAGTTCTGCGTTTGCCCCGAACATTTCGCTCACTGCGTAATTAGAAGCAGTAGCGTGGTGGCATTTACACTTTACATAATACTGGAATTCTCTCTGTGGCTGCGATTATATTGACATTGCGAACAAATTCAATTTATTTTGCTTTATTTGCTTTATATTTACTCATTTCTTAGATTATATTCCAGATGATAATGTTTTTTTGAATTATGTAAATGTTTTACAGAACTGTTTAGATTTTAGATTTTGAACAATATGATGATAGTAATAATAATAATAATAATAATAGGATTTCGGTTTCGAAAAGAAAACTCACCCATCTCACATCTACTTTACATGGATGATCTCAAGCTATTTACATCAAAAGAGAGTGATCTATTATTATTGTTGAAATTAACACATAGTTTCAACAATGATATTGGAATGGAATTTGGAATAGATAAATGTGCTGTCATAAACGTAAATAGGGGCAAAATTAAAGATTGTAATAATTTTGCAATTACAGATGACTTACATTTCAGTTCTCTTTCTGAGACAGAAACCTATAAATACTTGGGCATGGCAGAAGCGCTAGGAATTAATGACAAAAACATTAAAGAAAATTCAAAAGTAAAATTTATGTCAAGATTAAAAAAAGTTATCAAAAGTCATTTATCTGGCGGAAACAAAATTAGAGCATATAACTCCTGGGTAATACCTAGCCTTCTATATACTTTTGGTATTACAAGATGGTCTCAAACGGAATTGGATGACTTAGATAGACGAGTCCGCACATTAATGACTACGCACAGAATGCACCACCCGCGATCATCTGTCATGAGGTTGTATCTTCCAAGAAAAGATGGTGGACGGGGCTTATTAAACATTAAAAACCTACACAACCGTGAAGTATACAACCTCAGAGACTATTTTATAAAAAAAAAGACACATCACGCATTCATAGTGACGTAGTGATTAATGACAAATCATTAACCCCGCTTAATATGTCGGCAAAGGACTGGCAGAGGCCTCATACTATGACTATAGATGAACGCAAAAAGGTTTGGAATGACAAACAACTGCATGGTCGATTTTTTAAAACATTGACTAATCCTTGTGTAGACATGGTTGCATCAGTACATTGGTTACAGTTTGGTGACCTTTTTGCAGAAACTGAAGGGTTTATCTGTGCAATACAAGACGAAGTAATTAAAACGAATAACTACCGGAAGTACATTTTGAGGGATGGCACAGTTGACGTATGTCGCGCATGTCACCACCCTGGAGAGTCCCTCAGACATGTTATTTCCGGTTGTTCACAACTATCAAATGGCGAGTATTTGCACAGACATAACCAAGTAGCTAGAATAATACACCAGCAGCTTGCGATTAAATTTGGTTTTACTCAACAGGACGTTCCATATTATAAGTATGAACCAAAACCAGTCCTTGAAAATAGAAGTGTCACGCTGTACTGGGATCGGTCAATTATCACAGACAGGTTTATAGTGGCAAATAAACCTGACATTGTGGTGATAGACCGAACTGCACGCAAGGCAATAATAGTGGATATCAGTGTTCCTCATGACGCGAATCTCGTGAAAGCAGAGAATGATAAAAAGATAAAATATATCGACTTGGCTCATGAGATTGTCGCTATGTGGGACGTTGATTCTACTATTATTGTACCAATAGTTGTTTCAGTCAATGGGCTTATTGGTAAAACTATGGACGACTATCTATCCAAGTTGGGTTTGGGCAAATGGCTGAAGGGATTAATTCAAAAATCGGCCTTATTAAATACGGCTCGAATAGTGAGAAGGTTCCTATCTTTGGATGCCTAATTTCACCGATGGCTTAGGATTCCTCGCCGCGGTGGATAATAGCCGAAATAATAATATTATTTATATAGATTGTATTTATATTTATAATATTATAGTTTTGTGACAATATATATGTGATAATGTAATAATAATAATAATGTAATATTATAATATTATAATTATAATAAAAATAATGTGGCAGGTTTGAATGATGACCTTATCACAAAAATTGATAAGGGCGTGCTTCGATGGTTTGGTCACGTTGAGCGAATGAGTGAAGACCGAATGGTGAAGAAAATATATAGCGCGAAAATAAATATTAAAAGGTGTCGAGGTAGACCGAGACTAACTTTCGAAGATGTGAGCAAATTGCTCGAAGAGGGGAGGGTCA